TTTCGCGTTGTCTGTCGGCATTTTAGCGACGAGAAAAATGTCTGAAGTGAAAAAAATGTCTGCCAACAATTTTCCACATTTCTTAATGATAAATAAAAGTTATTTTCGCAATTATAACTTGTGTACCTTATAATATTTTTAGTGTCAAAATTTCACCCTTTCGATTGGCCATCCCCGCTTTAAGCCCCGGGATCGCGCTGGCAGACATGACTATTTCATAATGGCTACACAACAGGATACTTCACAAGAAAAATTAGCCATGTAACGATGATAAGGTTTTTTATATAGCCAGCTCTTATACTATTAGACTATTTACTTCTTAATGAATTAATAATTAAAAATCTATCAACATCATAACTTACTTTAAAAAGAGTGGTTGTCTGTTTGCTAGAATAAAAAATGTTGGTTAGGTTAGGTTTAAGTAACATTTTTATTTGTATATAATTTATTACATATACTATATACATCTCTGTCAATATAATCCAGGTTGCTTTTTATTTTTAGATCCAACTGCTTATAAAACAAGTGGATGCAGTAAATCCAAAATGCAAAAATACCTAGAAGTAAATAAAGATAATATTACCTTGATTATCACCGGAATTTAAAGTACTACCGGTACTACAAAGAACGGTATTTATTGAAAATGTGTTGTAGTCTTTAAATAAAGAGTTGTAGTGTAATGCTGGGTAATGTTCCATATTTAATTGTAGGTTGTATCATTTTACGCTATTGGATAATTAACTATAAAGGTACCGTATTATCGAAAAAAAATGGCGTCCAGATGACATTCCCGTATAATTTTACATATAATATGACAGCTATCTTCATTTCATAGCCATGGCTAACGCCGTTTTTTTTCGATCATATTACATAATCTAACATCATAATTTGATTTTTCCAAAGCTTCATTCAGAACCTCACAATTAGTGGAGATAAATTAGTGGTTTCAATTAGCGTAGAAGTTTGTTCCTTTAATTTCAATATAAGCATTCAGAACGTCTAAATTAGTGGTAGTTATTTTCAATTAGTAGGAAAAATTAACAAACTTTTGTCTTTTCCACTAATTATACATCAAAATTTGCGGGGAATGTCATTTTAACCTTTGATTATCATTCATTAAGAGAAATTGTGGTTAGAAATTAAAAGTTTGTTGTTTTATAAGCTCAATATTTGAATTTCTCTATGGTTACAACTGACTACCGCAAACTGTTGCTAGGATATTCTATTCATTTTAATTGTGTTTTTTAGACATTGTAAATGATCGTAAACTAAAAAGTATAAAGTGCAATTGAAACCACTAATTTATTCCACTAATTGGGAGGTTCTGAATGAAGCTTAATACTCACAAATAAAACTAATAAGTAGCATCCAATACAAACTATGTTTTTCCATGTATATGACAGTAATAACAACAAAACTGATCATTGTAGAGATATGGAGAAATTCATAAACTAACACAAGCAGTGGACTATCCTAAAATTCTCATTTATCAGCAAAAATTCATAAAAAATTAAGTTAATACCCATATAATTCCAGATAACAGAATAATTCCCAGAATAACATAAAAAATACAGATAACTAACAGTTGTTCATGGAATATATTGTCTTTGCTGTTAAGTTTTATCGTAAAATAAATCACACCCAGAATTCCTAAAATCTATATCAAAAATGCTGTTAAATCGTAGCACTACATAAAGTCAATATTAAGTAAAGTCAACTTAACTTACCAGACAACAATATGCCATCAATACAGCCGCAATTTTTTGTTTGAAACAAAATAGAAATTTTTCAAACATGATCGCTAATTTCACTGTTAAATCTGTTCTCATATTATCTTGTTCGGATCGAACTCAAAAATGTGAAATTTTTGAACGAATATTTACCTATATTTTAGTTTAACATGTTTATCCGATGATTTAATTATAGCATAGAATGTGTTTAAATTGAAAACAAACTTGCTGTTAAGTTGATTTACGTTTGGATATAACGACTTCATTCAAGTACCTTTATTTATTTGTTTATGTGGTTTACGTTACGGTTTTTTTTACGTCTGAAAACTTTATTAAAACGAATTTTTAAAATTTATAAATTGTAGAATATTGAATATATTTATAAACATAGTAGCTTATCTGTACATGGTGTTCAACAGAGAGCTACATCATTTGATATAAAAAAATATCTATAGGTACATTTAGAAGTCTAAAACTGCCTCTACATTATCCCAGAAATGTCCTACGAAATATTTCATGAAACATTTCGCAAAATATTTCTGGGAATACTTTCAGAAGTAAACTCAAATATAAGCCCGTGTTATAAAAATTAGTTCCCACGTTTCCCAAAGTAGTACAAAATAGACATTTAGATATAGTTTAAGAATTTAGAATAAAATATTGTAGTTATTATTGTAGAAATAAAACCCCTCGGACAAGGTTCTACCCTAAGAGGATATTATGTTTATTCAATATTTTGTAAGTTCGTAAGTTATGTATAAGTCTTGTATATACTTTGTAGGTAATTGGATCAGTTTGAATAAACATTATTTATTATTATTATGATTTATAGACCGAGATTAACAATAAAAAACAAACAACCAATCACGGCGCGTCTCGGTCTATTCCAGGGAATATGGGAAATAATTTTTATAACATGGGTTTATATTTATCGTACTATTTCGTACTATTTCACGAAAGAATCAAAATCAAACGTTGTGGTGATTTCAGAAAAACAAATAAACATGGAAAAACTCATATGAAAACAGTTACCGATGGTAGATTAAATTGCTGCTGGGTGCTAATAAAAGTATCGTTTGCAGATTTCTCTTAAGAACAATAAAACAGCATTGCTTTTAAAAAATGTCCGTGGAACATACTTTTGTTGAGATCGGGTCAATCAATAATTTTCCCAATCAACTCGATATATTGATAATGTTACAAGTATTACTCATAAAGCAATGCTACTCTTATATTAATCAATTAACCGTAAACAAACATATTATCATCTCTCCAAAAAATCCTATATGGGTATTTCGTCACTGCAAGAAAATCTACAAAATAAAATAGTTATTTTTTGTAAACACTTCTGCATTAATCCCAAACGGAAACTACTTGTCAGAAGTTAGGTTTACAGATATACGAATTTGCCTAACGAACAAAAAAATGCTTAACGTTTCGGAAACTTTATCTCTTTCCGTCGTCGGAAGCAAAAAAATACAAAGAAAAAACTATTTAAAATATTTAAATTCAACTATTCCAGAACACTTTAGTTTTTTAAAACAGATACGTCTACAAAAATCGTTGACGTTCTGTTAAAATGACATTATATCAAGTTAAAGTTCAAAATTAACAATTACTGCCTGATAACAATTACTTAATAAGGTTATACCAAAAAGCCCCAACTTTCTGTATGATTATTTTTAATTTTTACGTATGTTATGTTTATTTATGGTATGTTCTTTAAAATCAAAGAATCGATTGCCATACATTGCTACATCTACAGATGCATGAGCAATACATTTATTTTTATTAGATTGTATTAGAAAAGCCTCTTTTATTTTTCTTTTAGAGGCTATCGCTTCTTTCATTATAATTTTGGCGTTATTAAAAATTATTCTGTGCCCTGTGTCCCATGAATGCTGACAAATCTTAGATTTGTGAAAATATCCCTTTCTAAAATATTCTTTAATTCGAACATTTAAGGGTCTAGATGTTTCACCAATGTAAAATTTATCGCATTCACATGGTATTTGGTATATTACATTTTTTGTTTGTTATTCTGTATTCATTGGTTTAATATGCGATAAAATGGGTCTAATTGTATTTTGTGTTTTGCAAGATGTTCGTATGTCATATTGTTTTACTATCCTTCTATTTTTTTTCCAAACGCCCTTTTATGGAATTGTAATTTGTATTATATTGTGTATTGTTATCATTGTGTCTATGATTTGGGGTTTGTATTTCGTTTAATGTTTTGTCAATAAAACATGGTGGATAGTCGTTTTTTTATTAATGTATTTCTTATGTGGTTTATATCTCTGTTTAGTGAAATGTCATCTGAACATATTATTTTTGCCCTATCATATAAACTTTTTATAACACCTTTTACTGTATACACTTATACTGTAATTAGATGTGAAATTTAAGTATCTATCTGGGCAGTTGTGGGTTTTTTGTAAACATCTAAAATTAGTTTATTTTGAAACTTTGATTTAAAAAACGTTTTATAACACGATTAAAAAAACAAAAAAAAACAAGCGTTTTGTTCTTAAATATCTACTATACATATTATAAACGAGTGTTCCAAATATTAATTTTGTGGATATACATCAACATAAAACGGGATATAATTAACGAAATTTCAACAACAGCTATTTCAGAAAAGTCTAGGTTTACTTATTTTACTGAGATTTATGAAAAAAAGTCCTTGGCCTCGGGTACAGATACCACCCCGTTTCGGAAACGAGGCAACAGGAAACGCCTAAAAAATGCCCCACGCCCTTCTCCGCAATTTCATGACTAGCTTTCAGGCGCTTTTAAGAATTGAAAGTAGGTCGAGACAAACCGAAGTAGGTCAAGATAACTGGAAATGAACCGAAATGCGACAAAGTTGGGCGACGAAACGCGACCTTGACCTGCTTCGAAGAGTTTTCCGCATTACTGTAAAGCGTGTTTAAAAATTTGAAACAATAATAATGTAACTACACACATAGTCGAAAGTTTTCCGGGTGTTTTGAAAATTTGTATTTTTATAGATTTCGATATGCTCTATCCGAATATCAACTTTGCGACCTCGTATCTTTGCCGCTTGGGCCGCCATCTTGAAAATAAAAAACTTTCCAGGTAACCCCCTATTTTAGGACCAAATGACTGCACTTTTCGTCAAATTTAATTTGTCATATTTTTTTTATTTTCCTATTTTTTCCCCCTATTTTCTTGACATTTTTTAGCAAACTGTATATAAGTATATCAATTTTAATAAAAAATCAATTTAAATAGATGTATATATTTAATTCACATAATATATCTATAAATTAACACTTTAAATGTTTAAAGCCCTTAATTCTGGCAAATCCTTTTTGAAAAACATCGAAGTCGGAAGCTGAGTTCAAATGATATGTCAGTAATTTTTCAGCTGCCAATGGATGCCATACTCCAAACGTGCACGCTGGATTGTTGTCAGGATCATAGTAGTGGCATCTTTTGGTGACTCTTGCGGACGGTATGTACTCAACCACGTCGACGAAATTACAGTGGGGTAACAGCAAACGCAAACCTGAAATAAGATTAAATCCTAGTAAGGTCAGTGCGAATTTATTTGGAAAAAAAAATAATAAAATAAATTATTAATTTACAAACTAAAATTATGTATCAGAACTAGTTTCGGGGTGATAATAATAATCAGGTTGTAGAAGAGTGATTTTCCTGATAGAAAATTTTCCAAAAACATTATTCTTCAGTTAGAACCATGTCTCCTGAGCATTTTTTTTATATGAGCATTTTGATATCACCACATGCATTGTGACCAACAATTTTCAATTATTTCAATTGTTATTACTTTTTGATATCAGTTTTCAATATGACGAGGTAGCTAATCAAGGCATGTGTTAAAATGGGCCAAATAATTTTATAGATACAATACAGTGTGTTGCAAATAAGAAACTTTATTTTGTGTACGAATACCTATATTCTATACAAATTAAACTTTTAGTTCCGTAAGTAAAGGCGCGATTTTTAAATGCCTTGTTGCCAACCATGGATATGTTGGGTACCGTGGAGTGGATAGGGAATATTTTTTTTTTATGGAACACTCTGTATATTATTGCATTTTTGCCTTCTTTTCAGATCACTTTACATAATCTTAAGATATGAGTAAATACATTTCGATAGTTTCAGAGATATTAATAAATAAATAAAAAATATATATTTTTCACCTTTTCTTAAAAAAAAATATTAAAAATACAAGAACTGTCCTAAAATAAAAACTATATTAGATATTTACTTTAGATACTTTAGGCCTGTACTTACTTTGCTACAAATATGGTAATTGTATATCACACAGGATGTTCAACATTTTACGCGAAACTTTCTAAAATATAAAATAATTTTTCTTCGTTTTTTTTTTAAATGGAACACCCTGTATATTATTTTTTCAATAGATGGAGAATTAAAAAATGAACATTTTTTCGTATTTACAGTATTTCAAAATTTTTAACGGTTTCGCAGATATTCGCGGTTTTATATTTCATATGGAATTTTCCATAGTAAATTTTTATCAAAGCCACCCAATAATTTTTCTCTCGTATTTTACTGTTGAGAGAGCCATATGAAATAATACTGCGTGTATCTGCGAAACCATTAAAAATTTTGAAATACTTTAAATACAAAAAATGTTCATTTTTTAATTCTCTATCTAATAAAAAAATAAAACTTATAAAAAAAGAAAAATTATTTTATATTTTAGAAAGTTAGGCGTAGAAACATCCTGTATGATTTAAGATTACAATATTTATAGAAAAGTTAAGTACAGACCATCTAAAGTAAATACCTAATATAGTTTTGATTTCACGACAGTTCTTGTATTTGTATTTTTTTAATGAAGGTTGAAAAATATAATTTTTTTTAATTATTTATTAATATCTCTAAAACTATCGAAATATGTTTATTCATATCTTAGGATTATGTAAAGTGATCTGAAAGGAAGCCAAAAATGCAATAATATACAGGGTGTTCCATTAAAAAAAATCATCCCGATCCACTCACACTTTTTTGAGCCACCCTATAGAAGTTAAAATATTTTCCTGAAAGACATCCTTGTATATACTTTATGTTTACACTTAAACAAAATTCTCATGTTGTTTATTCTAGGAGCTACAGATGCCCGACGCACTATTGCCGGACCTTTGACTTCGAAACAATGAACTTTACTCTTCATTGAGTCATCCTGTATAAACGGAAATCAAATCGAAAGATACGGCTGTTTCTTCCTTACCTAAAAATCCAGACGACGGTGGATTTTTTCTCAGCCTTTTCGGAAAATTCCTCTGCATGAAATCCCACAAATCCCATATCGTCAGAGGATTAACCATGAAAATCCTAGGCCGTTCTTCCTGTTTCCGGTACTGTATGAAATTGGGAAAGAAATTAAATTCCGAATGTCGCATCCATTCCTCTAAAGTGGCCGAATAATTGGCCGGATCCCATATCACTATCGTCACGTTCTTGAAAATCGCCGATTTCAGAAAATTATACTGCGCTTTAGTTGCTACTTGCGAATTCAGAACTCTTATCGAGGTTTTTTTACCGACATCCTGTTCGAAACCCTTGATCGGAGCATGGTTAAATCGAAGAACTATATCGTGAGAATCTATAAAAAAATATAATTATAAATATACCATGTGTTGCATCGCTGTACAGGGTGTCCCATTTTCGTGTGTTTTACCGAGTTTGTCATTTATGAGGAGCGGAGAGGTATCTCAGGACTTTCGCAACGCGAATATAGTGAAGATATTTAGGAACAAGTGCGTCAGATTGTGGAAACTACCGAGGAATTTCACTACTGTTTATCGGAGGAAAAGTTCTTGCAAAAATTATGCCAAACCGCCTGCACCCACATATAGAAAAAATCCTTCCATAATCGCAAACGGGCTTTCGCACCAACCGCGATACCGTTGATTCCATATTCTCCGTCCGCCAACAACAGGAAAAAGTAAAGAAGCAGCGGAGAAAACTTTATGCTGCATTCATCGACCTAACAAAAGCCTTCGACTCTGTAAACAGAAATGCACCTAAGTGCAAAAGTTCGAAATACCCAACGAATTTCTTACAGTGTGTAAAAGCCTCCATAGTAACAAGTCTAGAGTGTCACATCGTGGATCACTGAGCGACCCCTTCCTAACAAATACAGAAGTTAGGAGGAGTTAGGCTGAGATTATAGTGGAGCGGCGAGGAAATATTTAAAGATTTAAGTACTTGGGTTGCTGGCTGAATGTCACCTGGATTTTTTCAAATAATAAAGGTCTACTGACGCAAAATCATAAGAATTAAAATATCTAGGAAAATCTTTGTCTGAGGAGTAGGCCACCAATAATATTTTGAAGATAGTCCCCATTGAACACCGGAATAATATACTGGGTGTTCCATTTAAAATTATAGAGTAACTTGCCTTTAAATGTGGCTAATGTTCCATATTAATTTTGTCTCACCCTGTATAACTTTTCGGGTCAAATTTCAATTTGGTTTAAGATACAATGGTTACTGTAATTAAATATCAGGCTATACAATAGGTCAACTAAAATTTAGTTAGCTGTTAACGAAATTTAAAATCTACTATTTATTTTCGCAAAATGTGAAATATGTCACAACCCTTAGATTTTAGGTATATGCTTCTTTAATAAAACTCACCTTTATTTCTTTCCTAGAATCCGAAAATCAATTAATATATAGGGTGTTCCATTAGAAAAAACACAACTTTGATGTGTAACTTTTTTGGGGACACCCAAAATTTATAAAATGCTTTCAGTTAACCTACATATGCTGCCAAAATTTCATTTCGATATAAATTACCGTTCTCCTTGGAGCTTCCGCGGCATATGAGAGGCGCCACCCTGTATATGCGAAATATTGGAGACTTAGAAACAAAAAAAAATACTTACCGATAAAAGTTCCCAAATTGGATCCCTCCAAGGCACCCGAACTTGCCACCACCACGCAACTGTTGAAATACTTATTTTCGAAGAACCCTCTTTTTGGCATGGAACTTTTTATCGTTTCGGATGAATCTATATCCCCCCGCTTCAGGGTTTCCAGTTTGGTGTTCATCAATTCACACAAAACTTGCTGCGGTCTTTTATCTCTATAGTTCTCTTTGGGCCCAACGTAATGAACGTTGTAAGTATTGTTTCTAGCGCCGTATTTCAAAACGTGGCTTTGCTCGAAAAATACATTTCCCAGTTCGCGCAATATTTTTTCCTTAATAAGTCTCGTCTTATTCTCGCACTCTAGTCGAGAATCGTTTTTCAAGCAGGAAAACTGTTTCGCGTCGAGCTCTATGTTCTTCTGGCCAGAGCTAGGAAACCTAGGCCGGCTATTATTAATGTAAACAATGTTTTCTCTAATTTCGTGTTTGGAACGGGTCTTGACTAAGTTCGATTTATTTTTCGTGTCGTCCGGTAAGTATCCTCGGTTGTACAAATATATTTGTTGGTCGTACGTGGATGTCGTGGATTCGCTTTGTTTACCCGAGTAGATCCAGTATTGAGACCAGAGCAAGTACATGTAGCTGCATATTCCAAAAACGACTAGATTTAAAAAGATGGTGATGGATATGGTTAGACAGCGCATCTTGTATTCTAATCAGGAGGTTCTAATGCTCTGCAAAAAAATCAAAAATTACACTGGTCTGCATGTAAATATCGGCCATTTAATTTTTAAAATCTCCACAAAATATGTTTTAATCAAGATACACTCACCGGCAAAAAAACGGACACCTTAAATTTTTTATGTATTTTAAAGATTTATACAGAGGGTGGTGCACCTCATTCGCCTCGGTTGATTATACGAATACGGAAAGATGTAGAAACAATTTTTTTATAGGTATACATATGTAGAGAAACAATGCGCATAATTTAAAATTATTTTCAAATGTACAGGGTGTGTCAGAACTAAGATCCATACCAAAGTTATATTTTTTCTTATAGAACACCCGGTATTTAATTTCATTTTTTGATCCTCGGGTATAAAATAAGGCATTTATTATAAGGGTTTAATATGTTTAAGTGCTTTGGTTTTCGAGATATTTATAAAGATATTTAAATATGCATGCTGCAATAAAAACAATTGTGAACACCCTGTACATTACTTTTCAAAGTTAATTATTGTGCTGACTTTGAAGCCAGAGAAATAAACTTTACTAAAAAAATGTATTGCTTCCTTAAATGTATACAGGGGTATCAAAAATTGCTGGTCTATTTTAAATATATATTATACATAAAACTTCGTTAATTCAAATACAACACTATGTATTTTTTAAAGTAAGTCGAAGCAGATTTAAATGCTCTTTCAAACTATATTACGGTTCTTCCCCTAGGAGATGCAAGACCTTGTCGTTGGTGGGGAAGCTCCTTGTCAGGTGCTGGCAGAATCTCCTCTAGCACTTTGGCTCGGTCCAAGAAGCATCTCACTCATTGTCTTGTCTCTGGCTGTAGTGGCCAGGGAATTGCACCAAGACATTTAAACCAGGCACCTTCTACTGTCTAAATTTATAACAGTTTATTTTTTAAATTTACCAAATGGTTTAATAAGTAAGTATTTTTTACTTTATCACTGGACGCGCGTTTCGCTAACTATGATAGCATCATCAGCAGATGATTATAAAAACCCAATTTAGAAAATTTAAAATTATTAAATTAAATTAATTTAGATTATAAGCTCATTTTTAATTTTGTCCAGTGTAATCGGGTAAGTAAAAGTGTTTTGGTGTATTGTGGTGATTTAGTGTTTTTATTTTGCTGTTTAACACCAAAGGTTCCAACCCTCAACTGTAAGTTTACTTTTATTTAATTTACCTACCATAGTTTAATAAGTAAGTATTTATTATTTTATCAAGAAAAATAAAGAAGTAGTTCTATGATTTATATTACAATGACTTGTAATTCATGGTAAATAAAAATAATTACATATTGGATTTTCTACAAAGGAACCAATTAAGGCAAATTCATTTTCTTCACTTCCAACGACAGGTTTCTGGCTAATAGGTTTTTCATATACCACACTATCAGCTCTGTGAAATAGGAAAAGTAGTTTTTCAAAGGAACGCTTAAACCCTTCAAGCCAACCCCCTAGCAATTGTCCTCACAAAATAAAATCACTAGTAACATATCCATTCCTTCCGTCAGCAGATATACTGCTTTATTTTTCTTGGATAAAGAACTCTAGAATAGTCCATAGATCGTTAGGTGCGTAGAGAAGGGTTTCGAATGTTCTCGTATGTACTAGTCCATTCTAGTGGGTCTCGATTCTTCTCGAACGAATGAATCATTACGGTGTCTATTCTTTAATGCGATGTTAAGGTCATCTGAGGGCGGGACATATAGTTAGGTTAGGTCGAGCCCACACGGGTCCGCAACATATTTAAAAAAAAATAGAGGGCGTTGTATTTGAAATAACGAAGTTTGTATGTAAAATAAATATTTAAAATAGACCAGCAATTTTTGATACCCCTGTATACATTTAAGGAAACAATCAAATTTTTTTATAAAGTTTATTTCTCTGGCTTGAAATTCAGCACTAGAATTAATTCTGAAAAGTAATGTACAATGTGTTGACAAACTTTTTTATTGTAGCATGCATATTTAAATATCTTTAAATATCACAAAAACCAAAGCTTTTAGACATATTCAACCCTTATAATAAATGCCTTATTTTATGTCCCGTAAGAAAAAAATATAACTTTGGTATGGATCTTAGTTAGGACACACCCTGTACATTTCAAAATAATTTTAAATTATGCACATTGCCTTTCCACATATACCCATTTATATTTTTACCGAGGCGAATGAGGTGCGCCACCCTGTATATTGTGTTTTAGTGGACCGATTTTGATGATCTTTTAAGCAATTTGTAGCTAAATTATTCTACTTTTTAGTATCTCTTTCTAAATTAAAAATGTTCTCATCTGTCAATTATAAGAGGGAACACAAAATGTTATTTTGGTGAAAGTTTTGACCACCCTGTGGAATATGTTAAAAAAGCAAGGACTTTGAAAATAATTTTATCATCTAGGTGCATCTTTTCTCAATAGTTTATTTTTTGGTTCATCTCAATAGCTTTATTTTTTTGGAGATATCTGGAGACTTTTGAAGAAAACACTAACAATTTTTCGTAACTTTTACGTTAAAACCATGGGTAATACCAAACCAATGCCTTTGCCAAAGCCTTTGCTTTTGATTTGATTTATGTATAATGTTATTGTTATTGAAAAATCATATTATTGTCTGTTAGCCGTTGAGTAGTTACCCTAGCAGAAATGGTTTTAAATCCAGAAGTTGATGAAGGAAAAACCTCTAAAAATATGTCTTAAGACGTAAAAAACTCTTATAGATTATAGATATTGTTATTTTTTTATAAACTCATCCCTAATTTTATCAATTTTTTGGAGGAACTTTAGACACATCAAACATACAGATCGACGGAACCATAAACACACCTAATAAAAAATCTGTCAAAGATTGTTAGGTTAGGTCTAACCTACGATATTTTAAATATGTTTTTTAAATGTTTCTAAGATGTTTCTAATGATATCTAAAAATGTATACTTAAAACCGTTTTAAGTAGATACTTACACTGAGGTTGGAATTTATATTTCACCTTGTTATCGTAGCCATATTATAATTAAGTTTTCATAATAGTACAACCCTTAACAATCAAACAAACCCCCGAGCCTGCGTAGAAAACGAACAAGGGTATAAAAGTTACAGTTAAAGTTTATTTAAAATTGAATTTTAGGAATGGCAACATTATCAGAGGAATTTCAAAAAAGTTGGCTAACATCCATCGTAGGTTTTTTAGTGTTCTGCGGAGGTGTTTATCTCCTAGTGTGGAATGAGGTATTTATTGATACAGATATTGTTTATTAATGTTTTCTGCTGTAGATATGTACTACCGATAATTTAACATCTTTATCTTTTAGGGAAGGGCTATTCATCATCATCTTTCTTTGGAAGAGACATATAATAATGCGATAACATTAAACCCTCACGATAGACTAGACCCAACATACAATGGAAGGGTTGTTTATATCACAGGGGATTTAGTTGTAAACGAACCATTAACAGAACCAGACTATGGAATTTCAGTACAAGCAGTTAAACTTAGAAGAAGAGTTCAAATGTATCAGTGGATAGAAGATAAAAGGTTCCTTATTTTAAGTTTGCATGCCTATATACAAATATAACTAATATAAAAGTAAATTAATTATTATCCTACTTTCAGTTCTGGAGATGATCAATCAAATTATTATTATGTTACGGAATGGAGAGACAAACTTGTTGACAGTAGTAGTTTCTACATAAGACATGGGCATGAAAATCCAACGTAAGCCAAAATATTAAAATATACTATATAATATTATATATTTATTTATCAAATTTTACATTATTTTAGAAAGATGCCACTGGAGAGTGTAACATATATTTCACCTTATGTTAGAGTTGGGCCTTTATTATTAAGTAGAGAAGTAAAAGGTAAATTTTCAGATTTTACTGAAGTTACCAGTGATGAAAGGCCCGATAGAAATGATATTAAGCTGCATTTAGGAATTTACTATCACTGTAGGGTAAGCAATACTTAAGTTATTCATCTTAAGATGTTCAGATTTTATTCATTAGTCCTACTTATTTTATAAAAATTACTCCATATTTTAAAAATGGCTAGGTATATGATATATGCCAAAGTTGAAGACATCATCAATGTTCAATGTTTGTATAACAAATAGTTGCATTTGGAAACATTTTTGGTCACTAAATTTATTTATTATGAGTTACCTTCTTTGAAAACACTACTTATATTGAAACAATTTTATATTAAATAAGCTATACAGGGTGCTCCTTAATGACATGCTAATATTTAGGGGAGTGATTCTTGAACCTATTTTAAGAAAAAAACTTCATATGAATGTATGTCTTAAACATCTTAACTTTTAAATTATAGCTGATAATTTCAATCCAGCCCATGCAGAAAAGATTTCCACACAACAGTCACTGCATCAGATTTTTAGCAATTTCACCCTGAAGTAAAATGACTTATTTTTTACTTTATTATTTTCTTAAGCAAAAAATATGCGTCCGAGAAAGAAAGATCATGAGATGAAAATTATTTAAAAATAAATGGAGATTTTGAAAATAATTTTTATTCCAAGAGAAGTCACTGGCGTACCATTTTTTTTCTTCAAAAATATTCAATGCAAAACCCGTATGAACGCCACTGGTCGAAATAAATAAAATCGTTTGTACATCAAAATAGGCACTTTGATGCATAGAAAACGTGTACCAAGTTTCATAAAGATACCTATAATAACATCGGAGTTATTATGAAAAAAAAAATTAAGAAAAATTTACCACCCTGTATCTCAAAAGTTAAAAGATGTTCAGGATTCAGGACACAAATTCATATGAAGTTTTTTTTCTTAAAAGAGGTCCAGGAATCATCACCACCTTAAATACCGTATGATCGAGAAAAAACGGTGTCAGCGATGGCTATGGAATGAAGATCGCTGTCATTTTATATGTAAATTTATATGGGAAATGTCATCGATGTTCATTTCCCAGCCAACTGGACGCCATTTTTTTTCGATCATACGGTATTAGCATGTCATTAAGGAACACCCTGTATATGTGTGTGAACTTTCTTTAAATACATGTAACATTTATAAAAAATATGCTATTACCTCCATACATGCATAAATATTAAGTAATTTTTAAGATCCGACGGAACCTGGATTTTTAGTCGCAGCCGAGACCGAGACCGAGAAAAAAAGAAATTCTCGGCCGAGAACGAGACGATGCAATATTTATTCAATAGTTTTTTATATAAAAAAAACATCTGATAATAATGTAATAAAAACGTTATTTTCATTCAGAAACGGTTTTATTGATTACCATATAATAAAATTACCTTTTTAGTCTATGTTATTGGCTAAAATAGTAATTTTTCAGCATTGCATCCATTGTGCTTCATCATATTCTTTCTATATAGTTGTTTGCTAGAGACGCTTGGTGGTGCAGACTAGAAATGTATAAACTGCTCGTTTCAGAACTCTGTATGGAGGTGAATAATTACACACAAAAATTTTACTTATTCGTAGGATATACGAGTAATTTATATAAAAGCACAATTCTGTTAACTTTATAAAATGTTCATTAATAAGTCGCTAACATCTAACATTTCGTTCATTGTTTACGCATAGAAATACAAAGGCAACTCTTCTGCCGTTTGGGAAATCCCCATTATCCATTCCTTTTTTTTTCGACTTTGGATGAGTATTAGATTCATTCATCATCATCGATAGGTGGAGCGATACGCTCAAAAATAAGCTAATTTGATGATCGTGAGCAGTCTCCGCCGTGGCCGATAATCTCGGCCTTTTTATTAGGGCTGCAACGAGCCCTGTTTTTTAACTTGACCGAGTACCGAGTACTCGGCTAAAGGTAATGGCCGAGTACCTAGTACTCGGCTAAAGGTAATGGCCGAGTACCTAGTACTCGGCTGCCGAGTAGTGGAATTGTCGGGTTTTTAATACTCTTAACAGGTTATGCGACCTTTATCAATATATACTAATTATACTATACACCATAACATAATAATATTATATTTTATACATAATATAAATATAAATTTTATTTAATTTTTTTTTGGCTTTAGGTCAAGAGCCTAAGATTGCGGGGTAAGTACTTATCTACTAACCCATTATATGATATTATTATAGGATATATTTCCACCTTTTCCAACTGATACATTCTCTTTATCTCATCCGCGAGTTCTTGGTATTTCAGGACTTTCTCCATTCTTGATTTTCCTACATTTTCGTCTGCTGGAATTTGTATATCTATTACTTGCGCCTTTCTTTGCTTCTTATCAAAAACTAAGATGTCTGGTCGATTGTGACTCACCTGTTGTTATAGCTAGGTCCCATAGGATCTTTCACGATTCGTTTTCTAGTACCGTCTGAGGCTGGTATTTGTAGTATGGGACTTTTGCAGTAAGGAGCCCCATTTGTACACAGAGTTCCTGATGTATTACGCCTGCAACTTGGTTGTACGTTCCTGTTGTACGCCTGCAACTTACTTATACTTATTAGACAGTTAAAGCACGGCCGAAGACGTAGACGTGAACGTATCGTTTGACATGTACGCTTGCGCAGTGTGAAATTCACTTGCGTTTACGGATACGTGATACGTATCTTTACGTGCCTTTACGTACGTACAAAACGCAAACGTATCCAGCCGAAGGAGTTTCGATTTTCACCCGAATGATGCCGAACGTACAAATTCACAAACAACTCGTTTCCACAACTGGCTAGTAATTAAGTCATTTCATAAATTTTGGGGCCAGTGTCACAGAACTGGGCCTATTTTATTACAATAAATTAGTATGAAAATATTAAGCATCATAGTAAACTCATTTTGGAATCTATTTAATTAAATGCTAGTTCTTATAGGCAAAACCATAATATGAGGATTCTAAAAGATGGAATCTAATAAATAATCATAAAGCTGTGTCTGTTTTCCAATATTTTTTTATTACGAAGAGCATTTTAAGTTGTAAGGACTACTTTCTGTAATAAAATAATTTCCATTTATAATTTTCTTCAGTTTTCGATATTACTTTTGTAAATTTAATGTGGAATCAATGGAGAATCATAGATATCCATTTTCAATTTTAAAATTAAATAAATTGTTTCACAAAATAATTTAGAATTACAAATGTACCATTTGCGTTACGTACGTCAAAATACTTGCTTTAACTCTTGTTTACACGACAACGCAACGGCAGACGTAACGTAAGTTTCTGCGTTACGTGTCGAGAGATACGTACACGTATTGTGCCTTGCTTTAACTGTCTATTATTATTACTTTGCTAAAATACATTAATTAAAGTTATGAATGAATAACTTTTTGTTTATTTTATTATTTGCCACTATGAGTCTCATTTCTTTCTGTTTTAGACATGCATAAATGTATTGTTTCTATTACTATACTTTACTCGGCCTACCCGGCCGAGTAATGCCGAGCATCGAGTGCATATTACTCGGTTAAAATTCTGACCGAGCACTGAACTACTCGGTACTCGGTGCAGCCCTACTTTTTATGCCGGGAACGAGACCGAGATCTCGGCTTAATTTTTAGCCGAGAATGACAGTAACTGAGACCGAGATCTCGGTCGGACCTTAGTAATTTTACATACCTACGTACATAAAAATTTGAGTCTATTTTTCTATATCAAAAGGTGCCATGTCATAGTATGAAAAATACGGTATTCTGCAATTGCTGATTTGAAAGTCTCTACACTCTATCGTGGTTTCGCATTTACTATAGAAGTTATTTAATTTTTTAATACATATAGAAATTGTTTTAGGATGTATGGAATCCCGAAGTTGGTGATATAAGGGTTCAGTTTTACTATGCTGGCCAAGCTGGAGAACCTGTAACAATTATAGCTAAACAAGAAGACGAAAGTCTAGTACCTTATGTAACAACTAAAGGAAAAGAAATTGCACTAGTCAGATATGGAAATTTAAATCCAGATGATATGTTGAAAGCGGAATTTTTCGACGCAAAAATTGAAACCTGGAAACTGCGATTTTTCGGTTCCTGTTTTGTATATTTTGCCACCATTTGTTTGGCCAAACTTCTGAAAATATTATGTAAGTTTATACTCTATAGTAGAAAAAAAACGGCGTCAAAGACGGCTGAGGAATGACAATCAATGAAAATTTTGACGAGATCAATCTCTAGACTTGTATAAAACTTGTCAAAAATTAATACTAATTATAGAAAGATTAAAAAGAATAGAACGTTTCCAGACCCACAAATTATTTCCAAAAAAATTGGTTTTTTTTTCTCGAATTTTAAACTACACCATTTAAAAATAATTTTTACTCAATACAAAAGTAAAGTAAAAGCTTAAGGCCAACTACCTGTAAACACCATTAAACTATATAGAGAGAAACCATATACCGCGAGTACCACTTAAGTTCTTGCCCCAAAATATTGGGGCAATCTTCAATAGAAGATTGAAGGATGAATATAGAATTTCAATGCATTTCCCACATAAGTCTATCCTAGGGTTGTAGGAAGTTCTTTGCACTTGCTCGAGCTGTGGCCACTTTGATTGGACTGTTCCAAATCATATGTTTTATTTTATTTGATGTTCAGGTTAAAGGCGTACAAATAATTTAATTAATATTTAACAAAAGTTTTTTAGATATTTAACTTTTTGTTAAATATTCTGAAATCAATTAGGTTTAAGAATATAGCAGTATATACTTATAAATACAATTTGCTAGAAAATTAAATTGTGCATCTAATTCACATAAAATATACAGGGTGTTCCATTTAAATTAATCAAGTTATTGCCGTTTAAAGCTAATAATTATTTATTATAAATTTTTGGACACTCTGTATAAGCTAGTATAATTTTTATTATTGCAACACAATATCTGATCAATAAATAATCTTCAGTGAATATTTAGTATTAAAAACTTTGATACCCTTGGAGAAACGAAGTTTAAAATGTTTTACTGCAATTTCACAAAATTGAAAATATTTCAATAACGGTAAGGTTTAAGTGTAATAAACCTTAATCAAATTTACCTTTATTTCAATCGTAGAATCTAAAAATTGAATAATACACAGGATGTTCCTTATTTGGGACACTCTGTATCTTGTAAAAATTATTTTTAAATTCTAGCTCTAATAGTCCTTCAACAAACCCAAAACTTACAATTTATAAAAATCTAATCGTTTACCTACAATACTCCGTGTCGTATGTGGTGAACAACCCTGTATATCTTCGATTTATTTATTTTCTAATGTTTATATTGTTTGATACTCATTTTTTATTGAACACATTTTTTGCTGTGTTTTTATAGAATAATTGCGTATTTATGATCAATACTCACCATGTCCTGGTCCCGGTTTAAAATAAAAGATGATATTAACATACAGTATGTCCCCGAATTGTCTTTACAAGAGGAACAACTTTTTTATTATTGACATTTTGAGAAAAATGCATTCTTCATAAAAATTTTTGCTTGTTCTAAAATGGTTAATCCCGTTTATAGTTCTCCAAATGTTCGTATCGTTTTAGAGAGAATGAAAAACATGAAAATATGGTTGAATAAGTTCTAAAAATCAAAAGGCCTTTCAATGGTAATATAATTTCGATTTCATTATTTGGCAGATGGTTATGATTAATTTCGATTAACGCGATATTTTTTGCTGTTGTTAAAGTATCACATTTTCAGATAACTAAACAACAAAAAAATTCAACAATATATTCATGTTTTTCTTAATTTTCTCTAAAACGGTATGGAAATTTGGAAAAGTATAAACGGAATTAACCATTTTAGAACAAGCAGAAATGTTTATGAAAAATGCATTTTTCTCAAAATGCCAATAATAAAAAAGTTTTTCCTCTTTTAAAGACAATTCGAGGACATACTGTATGACACCTGTCTAAGTGAAAACTAAAAATGTATAGTGCGCATATTATAGGAACAAAAATCATTCAATACGACGATACGCATCTCGGCAGCATTCGACCAATAGGAAAATAGCATTTCGGCACAAGTATATTACTTCCATCTCCTAAACAAGGATGAACTTAAATAAGTCGATAAAAGAAATATATTTTCTCTTTACCATTTTTCAGATAAGTCCAAAATAACCGAGTTATTTAAGTTTGAAAATTTAAAAACAAAATTCATTTTTTTTTTAATTCTGAGAGCCACCGGATTTTTTCTGTAATTACATCCCTTTTAGTGCCGTAACCATAGAATAAAGCCGTAACTATGGTAATATCATGGGGCGGGCATTCCTGCGATTTGACAGGTTTTTATTTTTAGTACCTGGACGCACCACAGATTGTGCTGTGGTCGCTTGCAGACGTCAGCCGGTCAGCCCCACTCCCAAAACTGTCGATCGGACACAATTTTCGCGTCGCACGCGGTCTGTTGTTATTTGTGTCTTGCTCTCCGTGCTCTTCGTTTCGTTACTGTAGTGGTGTGATTCCGTATTTTCTTAGCATAAATTTCCAATATATTTGTTCAAAATGGTATTCTGTTGTGGTGTTCCTGGCTGTAGAAATACTAGCAAAGATGTGAAAACACATTGCCTACCAAAAGACTCTGAGGTAAGAATCTACTAAAGTGTAGTTTTTCCATTATTTTGTTTTAATAAATATTCTATACTCTGTTATTTTATACCGTATGAACGAGAAAAAACGGCGTCAGCGATGGCTATGGAATGAAGATCGCTGTCATTTTATATGTAAATTTATATGGGAAATGTCATCGATGTTCATTTCCCAGCCAACTGGACGCCATTTTATTTTCGATCATACGGTTTTAGGTACTTAAAAAAAAATTTTGTTAACAGAGTTTACTGATTATATTTTTATTTAATTCTAATAAAATAATATAAAAGTAACTTGTTTTTTTATTAACATATATTTTGTCTTATCTTGAATAATTCAAAACAATAAAGCAAGTTGCAAACTATTTATATTTGATGAAACAGTAATCAGAACAATAGTTGCAACTTGCTTTATAGTTATGAATTATTCAAGATATGTATTTGAAGATTAAAATAGTAAAATTATTCCGATTTGAATATAGCGCCAAATGAAGCTTAGTACCCGCACGCTACACGAGCGTCGCTGCAAAACATTTTTTGTCGGGAGGGCGAGAGTCGCCAATCTAAATTATTTCTGTTATCTGTGGGTAATATCAGAGAAGATCAATCGTAGAGAAGCGACAAAACGAATCCCGCCTAAAAATTTGGAGTAGGAGGTAAACCTGCTAACTGTCATCTCAACGTGTTTTCGGAATACGGCCAGCATTGCCATTGTTAATGATAAAGTCCTGAAATCTTACTATTTTTTTTATTTGTGTACATAATTAATCTTTTTGAATTAATTAATCTATATTTTATCCTTACCTTATAATAGTACTTAAAGAAAGAACTAGTTTTCAGAACTAAATATTATTAAAACTTAAAATAGATGCAGGTTGTTAGCGTTTAATAAAAAATAATTATAAAATTAAATTTAAATCCGTTAAATCTTAATAATCTCCGTTAAATCTTAAAGGATACTTACTATTCAATATGATTCCTAAATATTTATAATATTATTTTTACTGAACACATGTTTTTTCAGTGTATAGCTTTTCTCATTTCTTTTGCCCTCATTGAATATCTCTCAGTGTAGCTATAAACATGCGATCTCTCTCGTACGCCAGGTCACAAAACTTGGTCCCCCTCACTTCAATAGCACCGACGGTTTTTGTCGTTTCTCTACGATTGTTCTTCTCTGGTAATATCAGAGATTAAGAAATTATACCGTGGGAAAATTTGCGGTGAACGGCAGTACTAAAAAGTTTTCAAAAAATATACAGGGAAATTTAAAAGAAAATGCTCGATTTTCAACATCTTTTTTTTGCGAAAAAAACCTCATAGACGTGTTCCTAGTGCCGAAATATATCAGCTCTAAAAATATTTGCACTTATTTAAGACTCACCCTGTATAGGAAGGCCGTATATAGTCTTTTAGATATATTTTGGCTAAGTAAATGACTTCTAGGGCTTGATCTCGCCAAAATTGTCGTTTATCATTCCCCAGCCGTCTTTGACGTCGTTTTTCGATCTTAAGGGGTTATTTTAGCCAAAGGGTCATTGATTATTAATTTTGTTTTCAGTTGATAAAATCCCATATCTCAGAAATACAATTTCTGGAGGAGTAGATTTTAAGAACTTTTTTGTTGCTGGTTCAATATCCTTGTTTATCATTGCTATGGCGTGGATGCTGTATCGGCCTATAGTTGCAGCAGGTCTATTATTTACTGCTGTAATACCGTATTTATAATGTACAAGAAAATTGATTTGTTTTTTAAAAATCTTGTGTTATGAGTCCTGTTATTGTGTGATATTTGTAGCTTTAATTTTTGTTATGTTTTTTATGTTGATGTTATTATCTATTGCCTTTTAACTCTTAAGAGTCCAGTTATCTATTAGCATAATACTATATGATTAAAAAGTTTTATAGTCTGTCCAACGAGAAGATCCTTGACAGTGATAGATGTGTCTGTCATTTTAATTTCAAAATAGTTTATTTTATTTTACAAAGAAATAAGTTGGTAAAACTGGAACGCATAGCAGGACTGACAAGTAACTTCAAAATATTGTCAGATATTGTGAAAAAAACTGTATAAAACTGAAAATTTTAGCAGTGTTGATCGTCGATTAACACTGCTGGACTAGACAATTAAAACTGCATTTGGGCACACACTACGTCAGTGTAAAACGGTAACAACATGAAACGCGTCGAATTACTTGCAGTGGCGGCAGCGATAACAACACTAAAACTAAAAAAGAAGAAAAATAGAAAAAAGTTGGCTGAAGATTGGTTATTTAAAAGATACCAGAATCTCTCATCTTCTTTAATTCCTTACGGAAATTGCTACCAAAAACGTCTATTTTGTTTTTTACACTTTGTAGAGAAGCTTCCACACCCACCTCCTTCATTTTTTTAAGTAGAATTTCATGAACTTTTTTTCTCGCGATTTTTGTAATCATCAGTCTTAATTTTCCATAACCAGGCAAGGACCTACAGACAACATCTATAAACTGTATTAAAAAATCTTTATTTAAATACCTACCGTAAGTCCATGTTGGTTAAAATATTTTTTTTTGAAGAAGTTACAAACCTATGGAATCAACCATACAAATGAGAACAAAAAATAATAAATGCAACATGTATACGTGCACCAATGTGCCCCGATTAAAAAGTAACGGCGCACACATTGTCGGTTTTCACGAACCGACGATTAAGATTTCAAGCAATTTTCACCGACGGTGATGATATCCGTGGTGTGCCAGTGATGGCTCGTCAGGGTAGGCAAGGTAGGCTGCGCCTACCCTAAAATTTTGGCAGAATTTAAGTGGTTTATGACATTACATTATTTACTATTAATGTTGCCAATACATAAAAATACTGTTAATACACGGAAGTGTGTTTTAATAATCAATATTATCTTAATATTTGTGGTCTTGTATATTAAAATATTCACTATCGCTGGCGTACGCTCACTGTGCCGCTGCGCTGCGGAAACTAAATAATTTTAACCGTTGGAGTGCCTTTGTTCGGCGATTTCTGCATCGCCTACTATCAGAGTCGATGCACGACGTATGGTAGTCTTCTGTCTCTGTCTAACTCATCGTGCGGTAGCGACGCGACGTTATCGTATTAAGGCGGGGCTTAGGCGAAATCTCCGGTCGCCTTCGCATGAAGTCGTGGAGGCTCGGTAGGCTTAGAAGTTACGGGGATATTCCCGATAATTCATAAGGGGATATATCACATTTTGTTAAGGGGATATTTCATATGATTCATTATACGCAGCATTTAAAACTTTTATATAAAAATTCAAAAAAACATTTAAAGCAAATTGGAAACATTTTTCGGGCTTGTCCGAGATTATTCAAAATGGTATAACCTGTAGTATTTCAGAACACGCCACAGAAATAAATGAATCCGAAATAAAAAAGCACGTTATTTTATTCGGTGCAAGAAGACGATACAATAGATATTACAGAAAAGTCTCACTGTGCTATTTCAATTCTATATGTTAATAAAAGCGGCTAAGTCGAATATCTTTGCGAATTTTATTTTATGAAATATTAGATAACATTGTTATACATTTAGAAATAAGGTTTGCAGATAGGTACTCGTATGTCGCAATTATTTTTGTTTATCTCTTGCGGATCCGAAATTTAAAGAATCCTATAAAAAATTTCCAACGCATTTAACATCTGATTTAACAAACTTGTTATATTGATACATTTCCAACGCATTTAATAGTGATTTAACAAACAAAAAAATGTTATTGGCCCACTTAAATTAATGAATAAATTGCAGGTATTAAAAATAGATATGATAATTTCGATTATAAAATAATTTAAGGAGAATAATCCTGGAAATATATCTCCAGAGGCTTTCAAATTGTTTGTTTTGTTTGTTACACCATTTACAAGTACTTGGGTTGAGAGACATTTTTCATGTTTGAAATGCATTAAAATTTATAGTAGAGATCCGAAAAAAAATAAAAAAAAAATCGTTACTTGCCTTACTTTCAATCTAAAAAAATCTTTTCACAGCTCTTCAACAATCTGATGATTTGACTGATATAATAAAACATAATTATTCTTTCTCTGAATACTACCAATTTTTAAGTTTGCGTAAATAAATAAAAATAAAATAAAATTCTATGATGTACTCCATAGTAATAGATAAAAAAACATATACTTGTACATTATGTCAATCATTATGTCATTACGTTGAATGCTGTATTTTTGCTTTAGTTTTGCCCTAAATATTCTTGAGCTATGTTTTTAACCCAGAGATAACATATATTTACAAACTGGGCTAGAGTATTATGTAAATTAGGGGGGGGGCAAATACACGCAACTAAAATTTTGTCGCCTACCCAGTCACAAAGGTCACGAGCCGCCGTCATCAGTTTTAATCGACATTGTTAATCGCGGCGATTAAACATGACAAACAAGAACGAAGTCTGTGGGGCCCTGTAAACAGCTTAATGGAAAATCAAATATATTAAAAAGAGATAAAAGTTTGGTTGATACATTTCTTCTATGCGGTATTCTCGGATTTTGCCTCAACATGAACCGCACAAGTAAGCGTTTCTGAAAAATGTTGCATCTAGGATTGGAACTTTATTTTTCACAGTTAGTTACTCATTTTACTACAGCTGTAATAGATTATATTTAACTTAGATTTATTATCTTCATTTAAATAGTATACATGGAAGTTTTTAAAATAGTTTATTATATATTTTCTACACACATTTTCCTACACAGGTAAAAACCGGCAACACTGTATGTCGCTTTTTATTTTGTCTCTTTTTCTGGCAACCGGTCATTAATATTTATCTCTGTCGCATGCGTTAAAATACAGACCACGCAGCATATAGATTATTCCCTATACCTCTAATGTTCTAATGTATTAGAACTGAAGCCAAGTCAGAGACAACTAAATAACCAGTCCATGGATATTTCACATAAGTTCTTCTGTTAGGCAAGCACTGGCGTACTGTGCCACTCGAAAGCTCTGATTGGCCATTATCTAACGAAAGTCGTAATTAACGTCATAATCCACGCTTGCGCACTACGCTTCTGCTCCTCTACCTGAACGACTTATACAAATTCCTTCTGAAGATTTATTTCCCATTTCACCAGCTCGGCTTCACAGAAGGCAGTTAGGAGGCTATATAGGTACTTTAGTTTACAAATATATGGTTAAGCTTCGTTCTCAGAACTACGTTGTGTCTCTAGCTCTAGCGACACTTAAAATGGTTTATATGCATCCGTTATGCGTCATTCGTCTCTCCGCCACACCATCGAATTTGACAGTTGTTTGAATTTCATACAATTTCATTGGCTCTATGAAGTATCGCCAAAGACACAACGTAGTTCTGAGAACGAGGCACGTTCTTACAACGATATGTTTACGTCAGAATCTCTAAACAAGGTATAGAGGTGTCTGTTAAATTTCAATATTATTATAGACTAATATACCGGAAAAATTATAGGTATCAAATTCTAAAAAAAGACTAAATATCTATTTAAAAAAATACCATGTCATAAAAAAATTAGTATATCATATTATAAATGTATAACTTTTTTGTAATAAGTATTTTAGTTTGTCTCTCGTTTAGCAGGTTATAACTTCGTTTCGGAGATAGAGCATTAATTAGAAAAACAAGTTACAAGGTTTTTACTCATGTGTTAATATGTATTAACAAAAATATCATATATTGTCAGATGTCAATTTTATTGAAATAGGTATTCTATATTTTTTAATCGAGGCACCCTGTATATTAGAGGTGTTTTTGTTAGTTTAAAATCAGCACAAGAATTAAGTCTGAAAACTAATGCACAGAGTGTTGCTAATCGATTCTATTGTAGCATGCATATTTAAATATATTTATAATTTTAAACATATTTAACCCTTATAAAAAATACTTTTTTTGGGCCCAAGAATCTAAAAATGAAATAAAATACCGGGTCTCCATAAAATCCTATATGGGTATTTCGCCACTGCAAGAAAATCTACAAAATAAAATATTTATTTTTTGTAAATACTTCTGCATTAATCCAAACGGAAACTAGTTGTCAAAAAAACCGTTGACGTTCCAAAAAAAACAAAGAAACGTCAACGGTTTTTTATAGACGTATCTATTTTAAAAAACTAAAGTGTTCTCAAAAAACTATTTAAAAATATTTTAAATAGTTTTTTTTATTCTTTGTATTTTTTTGCTTCCGACGACGGAAAGAGATAAACTTTCCGAAACGTTAAGCATTTTTTTGTTCATTAGGCAAATTTGTTAGGCAAATATCTGTAAACCTAACTTCTGACAAGTATATAGTTTCCGTTTGGATTAACGCAGAAGTGTTTACAAAAAATTATCTATTTTATTTTGTAGATTTTCTTGCAGTGGCGAAATACCCAGGAAATACCCATATAGAATTTTTTGGAGAGATGAATCCGCCACATAGGTATAGACATTTTTTAAAATACCGGGTGTTCCATAAGAAAAAATATAATACTTTTAGTTCTGAAACACCCTGTATATTTCAAAATAATTTTATATTATGCACATTGCCTTCCCACATACACCCATAAAATATTTTGTTTCTACATCTTTTCGTTTTCGTATAATCAACCGAGACGAATGAGGTGCGCCACCCTGTATATTAAAACAATAAAATTAATTATTTTAAATCAAACCTATCGTTTTCATTCACAGGTAAATTGTGTTTTCTAACATTGTTTGTTTGTCGTCTGTCCAAAACTTTCCCTAATTCATTAGACAAAGTTTATTCATTCTTACAATGTATGTACAAAAATGTTTTATTTACAACTGAAATATTTCTAATTTTTTTTATAGTTTTTCTTTTCATTGGAGAAACAACTATAAAGGGTGAGTTTCCTACGATGTTCTCTATGGGTATCTTGGAAACTACTGGAGATA